TAATTATGCCATATCATAAAAAAAAAAAAAAATCCACATTGGATTAGTCAGGTGACATAACGTTTATTTTACTGTTTAATGCCACGTATTATAATTTTTAACAGTTATTAACTTTCCATTACGGTCCATTAAAATATTGAATTTTTTACATGTTTTGAAAAGTCGAGAGTGTGAATAAGGAAGAAAAATTTTAAAAGGTGTTAACCACGAAAAAAAATTAAATGGAAAGTGCAAATAGGGGCTTTGGCCTATATTCATTCATATCAAAATCACGAGTTATCTCGTAAAAACATATGATCTCATAAAATGTACGACTTTACATTTTTTGGAATGACAAACTAATAAAATCATCTATAAAATCGAATTCCATAGGTACTCATGGTGGACTCGTCGTAAACATATAAAATCGTTTGAAATCATATGATCCTGAAAGTTTATAAAATCTGGACTTTTGGATTGGGTCTCAATGAATTAGCTTTGAAATTGCCATCCATGCTTCCAATTTCAAGTGTTAACTTCTCTTGGTTTAATATAGAAATTCTTACTGATGATCTGTTTCCAAAAGGAGGAAAGAAACATGGAGAAAATAGGGAGAAAAGAAGCTTAAATGTAGCAAAAATGGAAGAAATTTATTGCCCAAAAAAGGAACAAGGATGAAAGAGTAAGCTAGATTGAAGGGAAAGCAAAGAAGGATAAAATAAAAAAAAGGGATAAAGCGAAAGAAAGCTTGAATGGAGCAAAATGATAGAAAAGAGAGAAAATGAGAGCGGAGAAAACAAGGAAGGTGAAGGGATCAAGGGGTAGTCTTTTTAGTGAGGATTATGTTGACAAATGGGATTAGGTGATTGTTCTCCCTTTTTTTCTTTTTTCTTTTTTTATAAAGGAAATTAATGTGATTTAATTTAAACAATAATTTTTTTAATTTTTTAATTTTTAATTTTTTATATTACCATTTATTATAAATTTATAATATTGAAACTTGGTTCTTGTTAGAGTTATTGTAAACTTCAACTCCATGGTTAATTTTTTTGTAGTTGAATTTTAATTATCTTAATATAGAAATACAATTTTTTATTATTTATTTATTAAATTTAATAAACTCTTAATTTTACTAGTTCGATTTTATAGTTCCAATTTCATTTGACCAAAATGATTTTAAGTAAAATCTCAAGTTTGACAACCTTGCATTTATTTCTCCACTTTCAATAATTGAAATTTATTTATTTTTTATCATATTTATTAAAGATAATTATCTTTTTCATTTAAAAAAGTCATGATAAACTCAATTATTAAAAATGAAAAGAGGAATTATTAAGATTTTATATAAATTTAGCATGTAAAACTTATACATAAGCGAATTCTAATACATATAAAATAAGGGATAAGTATTTTACAAGTCACCCTCTTAAATTTTTTTTATACCAATTTCAAACGTGTTCTAATAAACCTAATTATTTCCTTGATTACAATAAATTTAACATCGTTAAATATTTAACAATAAATAATTTTTTTAATTAAAAAGTTATAAGTGTTAGATCAATATAAATATTGACATGTGTGATCTACATGAACAGAATTTTTAATTTAATAGTCAGTTTTGAAAAATATTAATTAAAAAATATATTTTTAGACAAGCTCCAAAAAATATGTTGGGAGGAC